TCAGTGTAAACCATATCATCGTGTTTGCTTGAATAAGACGTTTCAATACTATCCTCGTGACATATAGATTGAAAGAACTAATAAGGTATACAATTTTAGGAATGAAATTAATACCAAGAGACCATTTTGATATTCTCCCCTCGCATGGCATTCTAATTGATTGTTATTCTCCTTAAACATAAGAACATATGTTTGTAATAATTTTGTATAATTTAAAAAATGTTCTACCTAAAATTATTACTTTTTATGATCTTGATGTATAAATAAACACCAAAAACACATTTTCTATAGCTTAAAATTAAATCCATAGCACTTTAATATGAAAAGAATCGATTAAGTAGTTCTCAAGACTAATATCATACTAATAACTTATATATATACATATTTGTTTTTGAATTTATGAATATAGCATTAATATTTTTAGTAAACAAAAATGTTCTAATTATTAATATGCGAGATTAAACTCTCATAAATGTACGCAAAACATTTAAAATAATTAATTTTTCTAACAAATTTAGAGGAGTTAAACCCTAAGAAGTGAACGTTAACCCTAGGGGAGTCCTAACCCACATACACTGAATAAAACTACCGTTCAGTTCAATTCGGCTACAGAAAATTTTGGTCTGTATGTAACGTTGCAAAAAAGATTTTAATTTGATTTTGTTTTTAGTGAAAATTACTATAACTATCATGGTATTGTTACTACAATAATAAAATAAAATATTATGATCAAATACTCGTTTTATACTAATTTCTTATTTTTAAATAATTTATTGGTTTATTATAAATATGTCTAACAAATGAAAAGGTTCTAAACAATAATAATGGAGGCTAAATAATCATAAATGTAAGCAAAACACTGAAAACAATTATTTTTTAACAAATTGAGAGGAACTAAATCCTAAGAGGGGAGCTTTAATCATAGGATTTATAGATATACTATTAATATTTTAAGCAAATTAAAAGGTTTTAAATATTAACATGTGAGGTTAAACCCTCATAAATGTACGCAAAACATTGAAAACAATTAAATTTTCTAAAAATTAACCTAAACCCTAAGAAGGTAGTCTTAACCCTATGGGAGTTGTAACCCTTACACACTGAATAAAACTACGGTTCAATTCAATTCGGCTATAGAAAATTGTTTATATATTTGTTACAACAAATATGGTATGGTTACTACAACAAGAAAATAAAATATTATGATCAAATACTTTTTTTTATACTAATGATTTATTATTACGTTTTTTAATTTATAGATATATCATTTATATTTTTAGCAAATTAAAATGTTTAATTTGTTTAGCAAATTAAAAGGACCTAAACCTTAAGAGGGGAGCCTTAACCCTAGAAGAACCTTAACCTTCACACACTGAATAAAACTACGGTACAATTTAGTTCGGGAAAGATAAAATTGTGGTCCGTGTGGACGTAATGTCAAGTGATCTAACCGCAAAGTACACTATAACCAAGCATATGCAAAGATAAATTCTAATAAGTAGAAATAAATGGATTAAAAGATAGGAGATAAAATTGAAAATGGAAGTGAATTGGGAGAATACCCATTTAAACCATATACAAACTCAAAAGAAACAACATACATTGTTTTGTCTTTTTCTTCGTCAAGGTTATTTCAAAGTTATTATCAAATATATGCATATTTAAAGTCCAGCCTAGTTAACATTATATAGTTATGAGCTTTAAACATTACAAAATATTGAATGTTGCATATATATTATGTTCGTCCAGGGACAAAATTAGGTTCCTAAATTTTTGTTTTTTTTCCAGTTTTTGCATCAATCAAATAATCTACTCACCTGATTAATGTGTGTTTTCAGGAAGGAGAAATAAAAGAACCTTCATAATTTCAAAAAGCTACGAGAAATTTATTTCGGAAAACATAGTAAAATTAGTTATTTGTCTCCGTCAAAAAATATAAGAAAGATATTTGATATATAAAATTTTCAAATTTTCAAAGACAAAAAGGACAGATAACATGCATGTGAAGTGTTTTTTAATTAAATTTTGTTTTTGAAAACATTTTAATTAAATATCTTTTTTTTGTTAATGAAAAATTAAAGATCGTTACTAATAGTCTATAAATACAAATATAAATTGATTAAATGAACTTTGTGACCCAAAAAAAATTGATTAAATGAACAAGTTATTTTATTTTATTTTTGAAACTTAACAACAAATTTTTACACGTAAATTTAGTTATTTTTAGTTTCTTAAGCTTTAATATTAAATAACTAGAATAGGACTTGCGTTAATACGCGGGTAAATACAATAAAAATTAATGAAAGAAATATTTAAATTTTATTTAATAACCCATTGAATTTTAGAATACGATTTAATGTGGATCCTAAAACCAGTAGAAATCAATTTATATCATAATTCTCATGTTCTAATCCATCTCATGCAAATCCAAAAAATATATATAATCGGAATTTAAATCAAATTCTTAATAACAGAGAAAATATATATATATTTTAATCCATTATAAATATTTATGAATTATGTAATAGAAAATCAAACAATTAAAATATTATATAGTTAAATCAGAAAAGAGTAAATTTTATGTTAGTAAACTCATAAAAACTATAAATAATGTTAAGAACCATCACATAAGTACATGATTGGTAATTGTATTTTATTAATGTCATCATTTTCTTTCTCATAATAATGCCAAACT